GGATCAGCTCACTCGACTTTTACGGTCTGTGTAGCACAGTAACAACCAACAGAATATGCGTCTAAAAAGTGTGGTTTTTATCATAATGATTGATTTAGATGATAGTAGTTATACAAAGTATAATAAATGATAAATGTACTGTTAGAATACACTAATTGACACTTTTAATACACAAAACAGAGATTAGAAAAATTTATTCTAAGAGCAAAACTTAACTTGATTTTATTATTATTAAGATTTAGCATTAAACGGAAATAATCATTGATAGTATAAATATTTAATTAAAAAAAAAGAAATCATCATTAATTTTATTAAAAATAGAAATGTATCTAAATTATGTTTTTAAAAACAAAAAAAATTATCATTTTTTATTTATGTTTCATATTTAAAACTTTTTGTTGAAGCACTAGAAAGTATAGAAAACGCGTCACATTATCAGTTGAAATAGAGTTAATCTATGGTACGAATACTATCGATTGATTAAAAAACATGACTTACCTATTGTTATGAGACTTTTCATTTATTTTTGTAAGTGATTGTGATGAGTGATTGTTGCATACGTTTTCTAAACTAAACTCACCACATGATATGCCGCTATCGGAAGAGTTATCCTCATAAATGGAAGATGGTCGTGTTGGGTTTGGTAGTTTATTGGATTTTTTAACATTCGACGATTCGTTTGACTGCCAGCCGAATCGTAAGATTTGCCACAAGCACATATTTTTTACGAGAAAATAAAATGTATCAAAAAATCGTTAAAACATATTGTTATGTCTTTTCTAATGAAAAAGATATTAATACTAAAACGCGGAAGTTTGAAATAGTTTTGTGATTGTCGTATGATACTATTTAAGAAAAGATCACCGAAAAAATTGTCCATACACTACTGACCGATATGAAAATTCGTAGACTAATGCGGATCACTATTTTCAGTATATCTTATAGAGTGGTTTATGAGATTCTATAATTTCCATGAACTAAGCACCGTGAAAATATTATTGGTTTTTGATGAGTATTCCGTATTTGTGCCATTTTACACGGTCAAATGTATAACAATATTAGTTTTTAAACTACAATGGCTATATACAAGGTGACCCATAACAGTATCCACATACAATACTTTTCTATTGAATAGATTAATATGAAAGAAATGTTTTTGGTATTAGTATAATACCAAGCACTTTGGATTTAAATAATGGTCAACTCATATCAAACACGTCAACCTCCTTATTGTATTTTTTTATAATTTTTCATCTTCAAGAAAAAAAATCATTTTAGGTAAATACCTATAAAATAAAATTATGTTAGGCTACGACCTTTCCCTGTATGATAACATATAAAATCAGTATTATCTCATTTGTAGCTTCATGTATAATTAGGTATAACATGAAACAACCGAGACTAATAAAAAAAGTTGTTATAACTCATACACGTTGCAGCAATATCTGCATTAAATTGTATGATGTATGAAAAAATTGTCATTGTTAATCAAAGTAAAATAGGAGAAAAATTTTGTAATATTATGTAACATTTCTTCCAAAAATATGTTTCCTGGTTTTTTGATACTACATCAATACCTTTAATACCTATAACCCAACTATACATTGCGTATAACTATTCAAATATTTTAACGCATGTTTTCATTATTATTTTATCATTTTTTATATAAAAAGTTTTATTATTCTATCATAAATATAGATTAGTTAAATGTAAATTTAACACATAGTGTACTGTTATTTCAAGCACATTTTTATTCATGATATACTGTTAGTTTGATAGAAAGTTTAAGCACTCATTCGGTTAATTTCCGTGTTGCGTTTTACACATAATCCATGAGTTTTGTATCTTAAAAAGTAAAACTTGTTACAATATAATATGCAATTAAGTACTTGATTACAATAAGAATGAAACCAATAAACATATGTTAAATAACATTGATGAATTAAAACAAATCCTGATATTCATTTCTTTTAGAATGCTTATGATTGAAACACAAAAAAAATGACGTTAACTTAGTAAACAAATATCAGTTTATTTTAAAGATAAAAATTTAAATGTTTTTTTTGTACAAAATTTGACAAGATATTTTTAAATTTATCAATTTAAAGAGACTTGAATTATTATAAAAGAAATTTTGCTGTGTTGTTAGTAATCTCAGAAAAAATACCGTTTATTTTTAAGTATATTTAAAATATATGAAGAAAACTTTGAAACAATCGTAATATATTATCTACACTGTCTTATGTACAAAGATAAATTCACGATAACTATAATAAATATTGTCTAATATTTATAAATACAATAGGCAGACGGTTGTAAATAACAAAAAGCTGTTTTTACTATCAACTTTACGACTTAATCCACCGATTTTCAAAAGTGACAGATTTCAAAAGTGAAAAAGTATAAACACTAAACTTGTTTTCTTTTTTTCATCATTGTCAGACACCTAATTTTTTACAGAACTGATCATTTTTTGGCATTACATCGAAAAGTATAAACCTCACAACCTACGTTACACTAAAATTAATAGGATACAATTTTAAACACAATAAAAAGTGCTTTATAGAATATAAAAATATTAACTTCTTATTAAAAAATAATCACTGTATAATGCCTTTAGGAATTAATAACGTATTAGATTCAACATAACACAGCTCGCTCATGCATTATAGCACATTGCATATAATACTATTTTCTCATCTAAGTGACTCTTCAGTTTCTTGACCTGATTTATGTGATTTATGATGATTTTATAAAACTATGAAGGTCACAATTACTTCAATTTTATCTTAATGTGTATTAATGCATGCATCGATTGTGTTTTTATACAAATTAGATTAGATATACATAGTTTATTTTGATTTTCCGAGGATAATCAAATAAAAAAGATTTTTTATGTTGAGTAGATAAAGAAACACAATAAAGACGATAAATGTTTGTTAAAACCATCGACATAACAATTCACTTAGTTTTCACAAGTGGTTTTTTTTTTAATTTTCGAAGAAGGTAATGAAAAACAGGTTAAATTTATTTTCATTTTGAATGACTTTAACATTTATTTCATATTAACTAAATTTTAATACAATGTATAATTATAAATCGTTTTAATAAAACGATTTTACTACACAAACATTATTTATATTAATGCATTTTCAAATATCACGTCGAACCAAAAGTGCATTGATTCAACGTCTGGACAATAATTTAGGATTACACAAAATATAATATATTAATAACTTTAATAATTGAGGAACCGAAACACAATTAAATAATTTATTAACATTAAAACATGCCTAAAAATAAAAATTAGACATCGTTTCCAAATTTTTACAAGTTTTTGTTTAAATATAATATATAATAATAATATCATATTTTCTTTTATAATTTTAGTTACAATTTTTGTTTGCATTGCTAACAACTCTTTTCCTTGAGCAACATAAAAATGTTAAATGAATTTTGTTTGGACAAATGTAATAGCAATAGTAAAATTATCAATTGTATAGTGTTATTTAAAAATATACAGGAAGCTAATTATAAAAATCATAACACACGACAAAAAACTGAACAGATAGTACGTAAGCTAACAACATAAACTTAACACAAAAAAATAAAGAAACACAATAGGAATTAAATTAAAAATAGTTGTTTAATATCGAAAATCAGAGCTCATTTTGTATAACAATAGAAATGCTAACTGTAAATGTATTAACTGTAAAATTAATATGATATCATGAATATGTGTGCAAAAACTGAAAACCGTATAGCTAAATATAAATATAATTATTATTATTGAATTAATAAAGATTAATACATCATGATGCAAAATTATTTTAAGGCTTATGAAAACACTATCCTGTCTAAATATTGCCACTGTAAAATATTATTTAACTGAATAATTGTGTAAATATATTATTATATTAAAGTTTGAAATAATGTTTATAGCGTTGTAATAATGACTACTGTAAAAAAAATATTATTTAAAACTACTTTTACAAAAATATTAATGAATGATATAAAGTATGTAACTTGATTTAATACATAAAAATTAATATTTCAATAATTTTAGTATACAAAAATGTATAAAAACATAATATGAATGCTTTCAACCAAAATTTTTTTAGTTGATCACTTAACAAAAGTCACAAACAAAACATATAACATAAAACAAAAAAATGTATTTTAAAAATATTGCAGGTTAAAAATATAGGTACCTATATTAGTGTATAAAAGTTTAATCTGTTTAATTATCTGTGATAAATGTCATATTATTTTTGTTGAGTGTGTATTATTATCAAACGGCACTATCCTAATGAACTATATAATATAGTGACTAATATGGAATAACTTTAAACTTAAATTAAACAACTATTGTATTGATTATTGCAATTATATTGTATAAGAAAAGTTATAAAAAACACAAGTTAAAAGAATAAAAAATATAAATTGAAATTGTAGGAAACAACAGATAGTTACTTTTGAATGTGTCTTTCAATTGAAAGTTACTGTTGTTAACCATTGCACAAACCCAAGTTATTGTACTCTTGTCCGGAAAAAAAATCAGAAGACGATCAGATGGAGTACAAACAGGACAGATACTATGGATGCATTGCGTATGATGAAAAAGAATATTCTGTCTCCTTTGCCACTAAATTATTTTCTTAAAGTAATTTTTTTACAATGTGCTGTTTTTGGAGACTAAAATTATTTTAAAATTATAGAAAATGTTTTACTTCTAAGTATATAGATCAGAAATTCAGATGTTGTTCTGGTTTGGGCTATTATAAAACTACAAATTATGTGAAAAGCTATTGCAATATATCAGGAGTTAATAAAAACTATTACAATAAATTATTAATACACATATAAGCCTCAGTTTATAACGTTTTATGGAGATAATTGAAATGATTGGTGATATTTTGACACGTTTCGTTTGATGTCTAAAAATTATGTTATAGTTGGGCATATTTTGTAGCATTCATTTTTTTTTTGTCAAAATGGTATTGTATTTTTTGCTGTCTGTACATTGTTAAAATCATTTTTTATCAATGTAGTGGTAGATAATATTATTGTACTGCAGCTATCTTGTAAAAACTTCAAAATGCTCAATTAAATGATCAAAAATAATAGAATCATTCAAACTAATGGAGAAAACACGACAGTCACATACATATTATTAGCATTAACTAGCCTTAGACTAGAAATGATAAATATATTATTAAAACATTATGTGTAGTAATAAATAAATTTGATATTGAAATAAACTATTGTTTTATATAGATTTCAACAACAGACTAATAATTACTTTAGGTTAAATGTATTATTATGTATGTACAAAAGTCTGTTAATATTTATCATTACAGAAAAAATTATGAGCTTATTTAGTTGTATTTACAAATAATTTTTTTTTAACGAAAGGTTGATTACTGTGAATTATATGAAGTTATATGTACAAAATATGTTTTCTGTCGTGTTGACTATCCATGTTAGCAATCGGGAATCAGTGAAAGATTGTTATGTTTATTTACAAATGAAGTAATATTGTTACATTTTGTAGTAATGTATAGTTTTGTTTATCAGTTATGTCATTAAATCTTCAGTGGAAAAATTTAGTTAAAACTTGTGGCATGTAAAATTAATTGTTAATTTCAAATGAAATTGAAACTGATTATTTAAAAAAAATAAATTAAACAAAATAAATATAAATTGCAAAACCCCTTTAACAAGAAAAAAATAACGAACATTTAATTAAAAACATGCTTTGTAGATATTATCGGTTCAAATTTAAAATAAAAGAGTTTATTCTAAAAGAAATGCTAGTTAAGACAATTAGTAATTTAATTATAACAATTAATGTCAGACGTATTGCGCAAAGCGTTCTTCTTATGTTTTATAATATTATTATTATATCTATATAATAGGATTTATAAAATAAAACCATACTATTTTGTACAAATCTCGTGAAAATATAACACAAAATTAATTAGTATAAGATAACTTACTGTACAAAAAAATGTATACTAGTTGTTCAAAAAATATTATTATGCATGGTTTATTTTGTTTTGTGTCCTAACATGTTGGTATTAGATTTATATTCACAATATGTATCGTAATAAAATATACAAATTATTTACACATAACATAAGCTGTAGTAGATTTTACCAAATAAAGCTCTTATTGAGATTGGTAGAGCATTTTGTAAAAAATAAAAAATGTGTATAATATAAATATCAATTTCATTGTTTTTGACAATCATTTTTAAACTCTATGTTATTTTTAGTACCTGAAAATTTAATAGTAACTGAATCCTCATGGATTTAAATGACCTTGTTGGGCGTTGCTAAAAGCAAATCCTAAAGCCCTGGGATCACCATGTAACCGAAGAGCCTGCTCTAATCTCTGTTCTTGAAGTCGAAGAGCTTCGGAAAGGTCAGGAGATACTTGGCCTTGATGGTATTGACCGTTCATCAGTTGCCCTTGTGCAGCCATGACATTGTAGTTAATAGCATTTTGTGACTGATTAGTGGTATTTTGTTGGCCATTTGTTGATGATTGTCTGCTTAAATCGTTAACTTGTTGTTGTTGTTGAATCTGATGTTGTTGTTGCTGTTGTTGTTGGTTAACTTGTTGCTGTTGTTGTTGTTGTTGACCGGAAGACGCAGCAACGGCTTGGCTAACAGCCAATCGAAGAGCGGCCTCAGCCTGTGACCTCAAAATTGCTTCCTGCATGCGTAACGTGGGTGATGATTGATCATGGTTTGACTGTTGGTGATGTAACATCGATTGGTGAGAAGTAGGTTGATGTCCACTTAATCCATCAACCATTGATGACATGGAAGCCCGAACGGCAGCATTCATGGCCATTTGAACAGCTGACTGCATAGAATTCACCGAAGAGTTGGTGGAAGATCCACTACTATATCACAATTTTTTATTAGATATTATTTAAGTAGATAAAAAATATTTGTTATTTACGTACCTAGAAGTGGTTACCAATGGGTTCTGATGGATAGCATTCGATTGGGTAATGCGCATGGCAGCAGCAGCCAAGTTAGCTGCCGCTGCTTGAACAACGGATGCAGGCGTTGGAGGAACTGATCGAGGTGATTGTAAGGGGGATGGAGGATTTTGCTGTGCTACTTGAGATGCCGCAGCATGTGCTTGCTGTTGGCTCATGAACAATGCGGCTGCTCGCTGTAAATCATTGGCATTGTATTGATGCTGTTGATTCATGTATTGATGTCCTCCGTTGCCCACTAAAAAAATTAACATTAAAGTAATTATTATCAAATATTGAACACAATGTTATTTAACATTATTNTCATGTATTGATGTCCTCCGTTGCCCACTAAAAAAATTAACATTAAAGTAATTATTATCAAATATTGAACACAATGTTATTTAGAATTAATAGAAACAAAAACTTACTCATACCGCCAGTTCGGGCAGCCATTAATTCAGCTAACTTAATTGCTGTAGGATTGTTATTATTATTGTTGTTCGTAGTGCTATTGTTATTGTTGTGGTGTAATACTAAGGAAAGTTGATTATCAGCGGGGGACGCAGACAATCGGCCACCACTGCCGGATGTAGATAGGCTACCCAAAGCGCCGGCACCCATACCCGTACCACTAACTGAACCAGAATCGCCTCCAACAGGTCCATCCACATCGCCGTTGTTGGACGATGACGAATCCGAATGCACGGAATGTGGTGAAGCTGGTCCTCCCATACTGTTGGTTGCCGTTACAGCGGCTAAGAAGTTTTCACGATCTCGGCGCTCTGCGGCAGCTCTACTCAAAACATATTGCGCGGCAAACTGATGTTTTGGATCCATGCGCATGTGTTCCATATGAGTTAAAAGACCTAAAATTAAAAATATATCATTAAAAACTAAATATATATTGAAACCTATAATCAGGTCCCGAAATTATACGCATTTATTAATTTCGTTAAGTTATTCCGAATTTTTTATTAATTGACTTTATAACATAGTAATGTGTTGTTTCCAAGATTATAGTTTTGGGGATATTCGGGGATTTAATCCCCTACCACGCTATTATACAAGGTGTTCAAAAAGTAAGGAAACAGATCTATTGTTACCGACAATAGAAAGCGTTTTCCTTAATTACAGAACACCTATATAGTTATATTACAAAGTTGCATAAACTTGGGACCTTTTAAAGTGGCTTAAACAAAATTTATAAATGTATAAATACATGCTCTATTTTTAAGTAGCCATTTCCTCAAGATTTTTATGTTTAATTTATTATTCGATTTCCGAATTTACCTGATTCGTGAGTGAACACAGCTTGACATACAGAACATGGCCACATTCTGAGTTGAGCGAACTGAGCGGTCTCCGGATGACAAGCTAAATGTTTACGTAAGCTTCCCTCATTGACGTAATGTTTACCGCAGACGGGACAGGGATGGTTAGCTGTACGACGTTTAGCCATATATGGTCCTGTTCCAATATCAGAGTAACCTAAAATTTTTTGTGAAAATGAATGAGTTTCAATTGTTCTTATAAGTATAATTTATAAACGGCTGATCAAAAAATGTTGAAATTATATTGCTACGATCAATCAAAGTGTTAATATGTAAATACCTAAGTGTCCAAACTTCTTTTCTTGCATTTTCCATTCGCAGGGAACGACAGTCTGTGAAACGGCGGCAGGTTCATTGTGGTGAACTTTCATATGTTCAACTAAGGATTCACTGCCCAAGAAGAGTTTATGGCAGAGCGGACAAGAAGTAGTGCTAGCACCACCCATTATCGCGGCGTGTTGCTGAAGAACATCCATGCGGAGTTCAGCTTCCTGAAAATAAAAAAAATGTTCCTGAAAATCAGAAATAAAAAAAACGTCATCAGACCAACGTATGTAACGGCGCAGCAATAGAAGCGTTGATAGCGGGGATACAAAGGGTATCTGTTAATCTGTACGCCATCCTTACACTAAAACGGGCTCTATGATTAATTTTATACCTCGATGTTCTCGGTTACACATAATATACAGTATTTACCATAATTACTAGACTTCTGCCGTACCTGACAGTTTTATAGTTCTGCATAATTGTGGACGTTTAAGATGAAATTCTAAACGCAATTACACATATTTTACGAGTACAAAATTTACCGACCGAAGTTTATGGCGTTCGAATAGAATTTTTATTTTCGTTTTGTTGTTTTATATTCTTTGGGTTTGTATAAAAATGATACGGTGAAAAATATTTCATCTGCCACCGTCACTAGTCGTGACTGCTGTATTTTATAATAATATAATATCGGCGCCTTGGGAGATGTGTCCGAGAGCGAAAAATATAAACGCAATGGGACGATTGGCGACGGATGAGGTGGCGGGGTGGCAATAAAACAAACGTAATTTTAATTTTTAAAAGCTCCTTCGAGCGACGCGAGCACCGAAAGCATACTTACGACCGTTCTACGAGTACTGTAGTTATGCTGCTCGCGGCCCGGTGACTTTTATATTAAAAGTCCGTCTGCGGCGATCGAGAAAAGCGGAGATTTACATTTTTTATTAAATATTTTACAAAGTATAATTTATATCGGTTATATAGCACTCGACGCGAGAAACGTTCGTAATAATAATTATTATTGTTGCCAGGCGGTTCTCCACCACTTGATTTGTATATTTATGCTACATTTTTTATTTCTTTATTCAGTGATACTATCATTTTATTTATAACGGCTAACGCTTCAATTGACATAGTTACTCTAAACTTTTACTTTACTTACGACCAATGGAAATATACAATCTATTCGTTTAGAAACGATGAAAATCAGTTGTACGTACTCACATAGTCGTGATAAATATATAGAATACCGATTAAAATTATACACTCTGTACAAATATATCAAATTAAAATAAAACAGGATAAACAAACTACATGGGTTTACAGTGATGCAATTAAAAGTGTTTCTTAGATATGTTTAGAAATGATACAATGTGTATAACAGACACTCTCAGTTGTACACATAACTCCGTGGCGGTTTTTATTTATAACATATTTTTACAAATAGAATATGCTGATGCGTACAACTTTGCTCGGCGTACATTGCGTAGTGAATTTTATTATTCTATTAAATTGAAAATATAGCGAATATGATAAATAATTAGAGGTTAATTTAAATTAGAATTATTTATAGAACCACCTTTTCAATTAAACTATTTAATTATTTATATATTCAAAAGAGAAGCTATATTTATTGTGCGTCACAAATAAGTAGATGAGATTAGTAACTAAAAATAATTGTATGGATGACAAATCATGTAATCTAATATTGTTTCTAAGAAAAAAATGCATGTGAAACAAAAGAGATCTGACGTCTAGAATTAATAATTAAAATATTAGCGCGCTTCGATATTAAGTGTTAATTATGAGTAAATATGATTGATAATATAATATATTATTGTTTGTTAGTTCATGAATACTAAAAGTATCAGCAAATTTACATTGATGTTGTTCTCTAAGAATCAATTAATTGCGAGAAGATAAACATACTTAACGAATAAAGAGATAATACTAAAAAAAAAAATATGTGGACTTGTATGTTTATAATATGCATTGCATTTCCAATGAATAACACATTTTTTTACAATTTTAACTAGACTTGTGAAAAATCTGCGCGGTTAATTATGCACAAAAATAGTTCAAACGTTCGTGGAGAAAAATCCGGTTAAAACTTTTTTCTAGAGTTATTCTCTGTAGTGTTCATGTATCGGACGACGTTTTGTTCCATTTACGGAAGGTGGTCTCCTACAGGAGCGGTAAATTTATAGCCTCTTATTAGGACGATTTCGCATAGCCGCCCTCGATCTCCGCTCGTCACCTAACCCCTCTTAGACACGGTACTAGTCATTCGTTATAAAAGAACGGATCGACCGCTTTTCTTTATTTTATTCGCATTACTACATCGCACAATGCCGGGATGTGTACATCAAATGATGAGAAAATAACGAGCGTCCAACATATCATATCGTTAAGTATTGTAAAGAGCAGTATTATTGTTCTAAAATTTCGATTTTTACTTCAGATAAAAATATCAAACGACAAGCACCGTTCAGCTACTTAGCATTTTATCCGCACTGTCGTTTAACTCCTTCTCGTCTAGCTGTACATTAATAATGCACTTGTCTAAAAAAATCTCAGTGTGCGCTCAGTTTTACGAGTATGGCTTTTATTAATTTGGAATACCTATAAATTAATTATACTCCGCGCTGTTTTTATGATGTACTTGTTTCGTCTTGAACTAATGCAAGTAATACGATGGCAGCGTATAATTACTGCCGACACTTACCTATCATTCAATAAACTCGTGCGCGCACATACATTACAATGTAACGTGCACGGGCGTTGAATACATAATAATAATAATAATTATAATAATAATATTATAATCATATGTCGTCGGCGCAACAGTTGCAACACCTGCGCGTCGCTGTTGCAGTTGCATAGGCTGCAACACAGTTATAAATGCATGTACATGTTATACATCCGATGGCAAGAAATTAAAATAATTGTAACGTGGACGCAAAATAAATAACACGCCTACACGTCGGTAAAAAAGAAAAAAAGGGCCGATTAAAAAAAACATCCACCTGTATGCAAACGAAAGTCAACAGTCATCACTGTTTCTTTCTTTTTGTTTTCGATAAATATCAAGGCAGTTGTTTGACTCGGTATTGTTTTATGAACGAGCGTTAATCATTTATTCCCGAAAATTAATCGTCACTGAGACAGTATGTAAATGTTTGGTTCACCTGCTCTCTTCAGTACACGTGTAAATCAGCGTCAAGATTTTTTACTAGCCTACTCGGGATAACAATCAGAAACAGGGTAAATTATTATTCTGCTTTCGTTTTGTTTTTTACATATTTGTAATTTTTTTTTAACAACCGAAAGGGTCAGAAACATGTTAATATTAAGAAGAGCACTTGTATATTGCAATCGTATCGTTTCGGATTGGAGTATCATAATATTATAACGTTATAAATAAAAACTGGGGTCAATAATATCACAACGATGAAAACACTATATTACCCTTTTTACATTTTTAATGAATACTGAGTATAGCTTCTTCTTTTCTTTTTTTTACACTGCTATAGAACTTTTCCCTAACCCTTTTCAAGTCGAATAACTCACATTCGCCCTTCGGTTTTCGCCCTATTGAGTGTAATGCAAAAAAAAGTAATATGAACTTTGGTCAGAAAAAAATAAATCCCGTACAATGTAACGCACTACACATACAAGTTCATGGCAGAGTAACTTCACAACATCATCACGATTATTATCATATTGAATGCGAATCGAGTGGCAAATCAAAATAATTGAATGTCAAAATCCAAACGGTATGGCCAAGTTTAACGACCTGTCGGAAATCGCGTGTTTACAGAATTCATTTCTGAGTAAAGTTCTATTTTTGTAATCTGTTAGTAAGTGTTTTACATTTCATCTGCTTTTAAAAACACTAATAATTTTCTTCGTGTTTATTTTTTCAACCTCAGACAACACGCAAAACTTTATTCTCTCTAAATTTAATATTTTGTATTGTAATGTTATGTATATATAACAAACTACTAAAAAAAAATAAATAATCGTATTTTCATCTTATTCCTAATTAAATATTCCTTTTATTTTTTTTTTTTGAGCCAAAAAAATAACATAAATTTTAAATGACAAAAAATGCATGTAGATTACCCTTTCTTAGCGACGGCTAAATTGGTTTGCGCTTCTCGTCGCATAAATTAACGATAAATAATATTTCTTAATGCTACTAGACGTTCGTGGAAAAAAACTCGTGCAGACCAAAAGTGAAAAATAGTTATTTTGATTTATTCATCGAAAATGTAAATAATTATTATTATTTTTCGTTAATCTCTAACTAGTAATACGATTTTTGCCGTCCAAGCTAACGACAAAAGTGGAAATTGAGATCATAGTTATTACTTATGAAAAGTTGGCACAGTTGATCATATTCCGAAAAAATTAAAAGAAATAAGGTTTTCAGAATTTTAACATTTCGCTTAACCGAGTAAACTAATAAACGAGCCAATTTGCTCTCAAAGTATAAACAACGAAAGGACTTATTTAGAACGAGCTGCGTCCAACGTTAGTTTTTCCGTGTCGTGCAGTTTTACTTAAAATTTTTAAATTAACCCGTCCGCTGAGCTTGTGCAAAAATTAAAATTATAATAAAGATCGTAATCAAATTTAATCTCTCGTCTCGGTACTAGTAGGGCATGTTATTACCAGTATCGGTGTACAAGAGGGAAGAAAAAAAAATTAAGAAATACATAAGAAATTGTATTATTAGTACCCCAGCGCAGTGCTATAGGACGGATAACGTAAGAAAGCTGGACGGGAGGTAATAATTAAAAGAAAGTCCATTTTTCCCGATTTTAATTACATCCGAGAAAATCGCAACACGGCTGCTAGCATATTTAAAGAAAACACAACGAAATTAAATAAAATTCTACAAGACGTTTATAACGTTTTCCGCACTTCTCCTCGGCTTTATTCCAATTAAAATTAGTAGCAAACTCATAATCTATGAAGCACACAACGATAAAAAACTCCAGTCCAATGCTAACTTTAAAACCGTTTTAGTTGCCGTCAAACGGTCAAAAAATCGTTTATACGTGTAATGATATCGAACGTACACGGTGAATGAAAACAAAATTAGTAAAGTTTCAATGAGTTGTGAAAAAAAATCGTGTAAAAAACTTGAGACATTGTCGTCATTATGTGTATGACGTCATCACGCTAACACAAAGTTACAAATTTTGTGCACAGCACACAATTTAAACGAAGAAAACCGCGACGTCCTTGACGATTCGTTCTGCGACCACCCAAAAACCCTTTAACCCCGTAAACTGGGTCAAAGTCACCGCCTCCTCATAATAACCTTACAATTTACTATATGCACGTGAGTGGCTTCCCCGACGCGCGTCACTACCATTTGGCCGGCGTAAAGGAATGCGTACAAGAGAATTCGATTAAAACGTGTCAGGCAATACTGTTCTTTGTTTACACTGCAGCTGCATTGTAGAGTAAGCGCACTCGAGAGGCCAACTAAGCGGTTTCAACGTACCTTAGCCGTGTGGGTGCGCAGACTGGACTCCGTGGCGAAACCCTTGCCGCAGATGGTGCAGTGGAACGGCCTGTTCTTGGCCCGTTCTACTTGGGCGTCGTGGTTCCGGAGGTGTTGCTGCAGATTAGATAGTTGTATGAAAGCTCGACCGCATTCAGCTAAATGGCATCTGTAAGGCCGCTCTCCTGGAATAAAAAAAACCACAATTATTTAGCACCTTCTCTTAGAGGACTTGTTGGATTGTCAATCCGAAGTCGCTTTGTTTTACATTATTGAAATATTTCAACGCCGAAATGATATTACAAATATATAGGGAAAAATGTATTTACATTGATATAATTCGTTAGGTCATCAAAAGGTCGAACGAAAAATTTTTCAGGTGAAATGAGCGACTGTTTTTGGGCACGACTAAAAATAGGAATAAAAAAGTACAATTTAAACGACCAGTTAAATGCGTACAAGTTATCAACTTGAGTGTACAAACACAATAATACCATAACCGGTTACCGCCGCCGCAGTTTTTCATATGTAAATCGGGTGCTCGCGAATATAATGGTATAGTAATATAATCATAATAATAATGTATGCAAGAGGCCTTTTGCGGAAGGAAACATGAAGAGGGCACGTCCTATTGTTTTAACACTTAGGCTGTACCTAGCTGGCATTTTTTTCTTCCATTTCTCTAACGATATCTAAAACACACTCGTGTGTACCTTGAGAAATGTGTAAAAACGTATTCAATTAGATATTCTTTTGTATTGTTTTTTATTCCGCCGTTGCAGTGTCTATCAACGACGACGCGTTATGGTAATTTTCACCCGGATGCGTTTTTTTTTTTTGTCCTTTATTCCCGTATAGATTATTATAATAAAGTATATACTTGCCCTTTCATTCGAAACTACCCTTAACCCTTTTACTATGCTATAGCGATCCCTGCCGATGCCATTGTTTTAACAGCACTTCTATTATTTGTACGTTTGTTATATTGAAATTTTGATTAATTTTTTTAAGTTTCTATTGTGGCTGCGTTTACATCGTATCTTCTGCCGGTGCTGCATTACTAGTTTTACTGGCCAGGACGATCCGACCGTGTGAACGCACCAGTTATATTTCAGGCGATGGAATCATTTTTTTTTTTTCGTTTAATTATTTACTAGCCACCCCTGAAGTTAATCACGTTGAAAATGACACTCTGGTCACACACTCAATAATAAACCGTATTAACAGAGAGAAATGAGTGCTTTTATGAAAATTATGAAGTAAAAAAAAACACTCCCCCGATTGCGTCACACACAAATCTGAATAGCAATAATAACCGGTCAGTGTTTTTGCCGATGCGATTTTCCGAAAAATGATTATAAATAATATGTCATTCGTGCTGAACGACCATAGTCGGAGGAAAAGAGGAAAAGGAATGAAAAAACGAGATTTATACTCGACCAACACATAAATCGCATTAAATTCATATTTTTCGTTGGTGTGTCATTTTGTGCGTGCCCGTATTTATATTAAACGAGTGTGTATTGTATTGGTTTTCAGTTTTTTGTCAGCATTATTACTGTTATTATTTTATAATAATATTATTTACAGCCCTTTGCCGTACTTTGTTATCCAAAAAATTACATTAAAAAAGGATTAAATTATACACTTCGGATTTACTAGAATGATTTCAAACAACACGGAATGTTTATTTAAAAATCTTGCACATCGTCATATCGATAGGACCGGACAATGTGCGAACACATTTTTTGTACGATTTGTGTGTCACGGACGTCAGGTTATTCTTTTTTTTATATTTCTTACGAACCCGAGCAGTTACAAGACTTGTCATAAGCGTGAGTGACGTTAGGATCACTTTTTTATCGTGATTTACGTCCGATAAAAGTTTTCTCTAGCGAAAAGAATCCGCCGGTAATCGTTCACAGGAAACGAAGGCGACCGAGAACGATTAATAATTGAATTCAGTCGCACTTTTTTTTTCCTCGAAAACAACCCTTTGACGAGGCGTTAAAATGCCACGAAAAAAAAAAAGGTCCGAATACCTTTTATTATTTTTATTTGTGGCTGTGATACTGTGTACTTAACCCATTGCATTCTCACTTTTCAACTGAAAAAAAGTGCCAGTAACCTTTTTTTTCTCTCTTAACTGGTGTTTAAACCGTTTAAATCTCAGTGGACGCTACCGTTAAACGACGCGACGGCGGCAAACAACCCCATTTTAAACGGCGGTGGTCCATATAATTTATGTAAACTTCATAAACCATGTTTTTAATTTTTTATGTATTCCTTTTTTTTTTTCAAACGTTTGCGGCGGCTTCTTAAAAAAAAAGTTGTTGCATTTTCTCTTAAAAGCGCAATAATAGAAACTTTATTCTCTCGCGATTGTATGCTATTGTATCCGACTATATTATGTACTGTTTATTATTGTCGATTTGTTTTTTTTTTTTTAGAATAAGTAAAATTAAAAACTATGTTCGCTATATCGATGCTCGCACGGCATGGTAATAATTAATGTTATGCATTGCGTTTATAATCGGCTTATATTCCCGTTAGCGTTCAGTGTGCGTTTTCTCTGTCATTTAAAGTCTACTGTATGTAGTAATGTTTGTGTCAATAACGAGAAAAAGAGAGATAAGTATAAATGTGTTGTGTGTATGAGTTGCAAAGAAATATATCTCGTGCCGATTTGTAAAAAAAAAAAAAGAAAAAATTGTCGATTAAATCCGTTGGGAACGTGACCGATAATTTATTGACTCGGTTTGCGTATGCGTCTAGTTGAATCTACATACTTAATGAACTTTGTTCTGTTTTTCATTAACCAAACGCCCGGTGAATATGTTGATAAATTCCGTTGTAAATCATCGTTACTCAGTTGCAACTGTTAAAATGTGTACCACAACATCTGCACATGCCATATCAGTTCTTCTGCACTTCTCGTGCAATTATATATCACCTAAGTAGCTTAATTGCACGTAAAAAAGATATTTTAATGTGACCCCGTTTGAGCAGTGGCGGCGACATTGGAATTTCGACATACGCATCATTGACACAATGTGCATTGGGTGACTTGGAATCATGACAGCACCCCGCCAACTCCTACGACTGAAAATCCGTCCGCTACGCCGTACAGATAGATTTGCATATAAATACACGTGGAATATACGTGAACGAATATTTCATTGGCACAGCGAAAACCGCATTATTATTGTATATATTTGATTTGTTAATATCGACAGAGATTATTATTTATAACGATTTATCGAACACACTCGATAGTGTAGAAGACAATAATAAGAGATTGATTTCAGTGTTGCTACGAAAAACGCGAATGATGATCAAACATTTTGCAAACGAGAATATTTTTATTGGAATCTTCGTTTAAGATTTGAATAAAACAAGGGGAGAAAACGTTCATGTTTTTGTTTCTACTTATTTTTATACATTTTCAAATTAACAGCAATCATAATTTTTCGAAGGGGTATGGCGATCAGTTATTGTGCGGTTTCAGCGACGGGTGTCCCGCAGCAAGCTTAAGTAGGGTAATTTTTAACAGCGTGGTTTTCGCACCTCTTGGAAAACGTGACCGGAATCCGATTACAAAATACTTGTCGTTTTCAAAGGAGAAATATTATTATTACTTGTACACGAAAAAAGCCGAGTCCTTTTTCCGGACACTTAATAATGATGTCGCGAGTTTCAGATATATAACATTGTTAATGTCTGAAGCGTAATGGTCATGCTATAGGAGTAGTGGTCTCTTATCTCTCTCACTCTTTTCGTTTATATGCTAATGACCACCGTGTACTTGATAATGACAATGTTGGGTGGGCGTGCACTACAACAAGGGCTACAAAGTTAAACTTAACGAAGAAAAAAAAAATCTGAAACATTTTTGAACCCCTTTCCGCGGAAATTACGTGTACGTACAATTCGACTAGTAATATATTTTTCTTTCTCGCTACCCCGTGTCAACACCTTGGATAATGTTTTTTTCGGTTTCCTGGATTTAATTGAACATAAATCCTTTTACTCTGTTCATTGTTTTTACTTAGTTTTTGGAACGTTCCAATTTTCGCAGGAAAAAGCATATAGTAATTATTTTTTGTTTTTATTGATAATGAATACAGAAAATCGACGGTATTAAATTACTATAATTACTAGTTGGTAGTACTGCAATGACCAATAGTAAATTCGTTATCTACGACTAGACCAAACCCATTTTAGAGCGGCCATCGCTAGCAATTTTAATCCCTTCACCGCCGGCTGCCTGTACTGCCAGTGAATCATACCGGACGACTGCACAAAAAGAGGGAACGACGCCTGCACCCCACAATGTCGTAGGCTCCTAGCCCCACTCTCAATAATGCACCACACTATGATTTCGACGTAGGGTCCGGCAGTAAAAGAAATCAATAAATTCGTAAACGGACTTGCAGTGCATACAATGCGTAAACTCAATCGACACACTGTCCAAATATAAGGCGATTAATATTAAATTCCGATCATTAAACCCCGAAATGATTAGCCGTCAGTTATTTGACAGACTAATAAAACAAGGAACGACGTGCAAGTCTGCGTTAATCGTTTGCCGCCACGAGAAACCATAGACAATAAGTACATAAGTTATTATATAGGTGGTTTTGTTTTAAAAAATAATTTACGACGTTTGAAGATTAGTACATAATTTCTTTTTTTTTAAAGAACTTTATTACTTGTAATGAAATTAAATATTAACAATTGTCTCTGTTGGCAGTTAACTGTTTTACGTAGAATTCATCACCAGCCTTAGTCGGAAATCGATTTGCCGCATATCAATCCTTTTTGCGCGCTTAACACGGTGTACATTTTTGCAATCGGTTAGGTGCGCGTGTCGTTTTTGCGTTTTCACTCTTCCGGTGCAAATAAATTACTCTACGCTGCCCCGTATCGGATATCTAACATGGGATTTTTTTACCGGAACACACACACGAAACTAAAACACTACTATAGGCCGCGGCCGTTTTGTTTGAGGCACTCGGACAACGTCTGTTTTTTACTAACTACTGGTGCCACGAATTTACAACAATAAAAGCGGCCAATAACAATACTCGATGTTATTACAACGGCGTATATTTCAGGTATAGATTTACACATACACCACACTGTATCCGTGTAATGATTAAGCGGCGGTAAGTATTAAAAAACGTCCGGGGCGCGTCTACAACACACGCGAAACGTCGTTCGTGACCGTCCGCCATAAAATTTCTTTATATTATTATAAACTTTATTATATAATGTTCGATGGTAAAAAAAAAAAAAGCCGACTCCTCGCATACACACATCATTTAAAGGTAGTTATTTTAATGTATTAACTTTTATTCGCCGCGAGTACAAAGCCTATAATAAAACTTCAGTTTTATATTTATGCGAGTCGCATTTGACATCTTTGATTCATTAGAACGTTACTGCTACTTTCTTTTGCTGCCTACTAATTCAGGTACACCCTCAGTTGCAATAGTTTTATATTATATAACGTAAATATTAACAGTAGTTAAAAAAAAAAATTACGGCTCCAATCCATTTTGCACTTTAATTTAGTATTGCCCGGAAATTATCGTTTGGTTCGGAAATCAATTTCGGATTCCTAATTCAAATTCAATGAACAACCGAAGCGAATTTAATCATTTTTAATAATTATTATTAATGAAAAGTTGAGGTTTTTGGCAATTATTTTTTGTTTACTAAAAGTTTTTACAGATGATTTTTAACGGAGCTCACCGAAATATGTATGTACCAATGTAGTCGTATTATAATTACAGACATTTCGTTAAATTTGCTCATTTCATTATTTATTTAAACAGTATTTTTACGAAATAGAATTTTCCGTTTGTTTGTCAATCATTTTCTTTTCATTTCACATACTATGTTGACACTTGGTTTATTAAAATTCTCAAACTTTACCTATTGCGGTCGTTCAAACGGTGGTTTGTATATTTTTTAAACCAGTCTTATCAATACTGATAACACGTGTAATATTTATTACATGTTTATATAACCCTAAAGTACAATCGTACACTCATCGAACAACTATGCAGGACAATGTAACAGCCATATTTGATTCTAATTCACGCACACGCCCACGTACATGTGTGCCAAACTCCACCCAGAGGGGGTGATAAATGATAATAACAATATTATGATTTTTCATACGAATACGATTTGAAATAGCTGTTATAGTCACGATTATACTGCATTGCGTCCAAGAGTATGAATAGGATTAGCATTGATTAATTTTTATTTAAGAATTAAACGTACGAGATAACGTACAGTGGATACGGTAAATGAAAGAATAAAACTTAACTCAAAATAAAATTTCGACTATGAATAAAAATTAAATTCGAATACTTTAATGGGTTACAATTATAAAATAAACACGTGAGAAAATTGATAACAAAAAATCTTGACAAATATTTAACATTGCGTACATTTAATTTGTCAGTATCATGACAGTAGAGATTTGTTTGCACGAGGCTACGGTGAGTTCTTTAATGGAAAATTGAAATATTACTATCCTGTGTAAATACGCGAAAAAAATGCACTCTGATATTGTGAGATTCTTTATTTTTTAATAAACGTCACTGATTAAATGGAGTGAAAACAAGCAGCGTCGTCTCCGCGGGTTTTACTTGTTGATGGTATTGGATTTATCGCGAATAATTGGGAACTTTTACAAATTTTTTTCTCCGTTGCCGGGAAAGAGCGAAACGCCCTTTTTTCATCGCTAATATCTGTTAAAAGTAAATAACAATAAAACGACCAATGAATTGACAAGGGTCCTCCGCCGCCGCCGAGGATGAGTGGTGAGTGCGAAATTCGCGAGAAACGTTTTAAATACTTTTTTCATGCTGCCGTCGAGCTTTTCTTTTTTTTTATCAGTTTTATGAAAACATTGTAAAAAAAAAAAATATAAATAAAGAACACTCTTCCTGGGCGGTGTCTGTGAATATTGAAGGGAAGAAAATTAACGGACGAATGAATGGTCCGTTAATGACGGACCATTTTTCGAAACGTGATTTATTCGTGAAAAATTATACATCTTTTTTGTTCGTTTTATTTTTTCCCTCTCTGGCGTGTCATTTAATAATCCTGATTTTTCTCGGAATCAGAAACATTAAAAGTTAATATCGAGCTCACGGAAAAAAAATCCAGCAAGAATAAAGTTTCATTATATGTTTTTGGTGGCCTAGATGAATAGATGCGACTGTCTTACGTATATTGACAAATAATGTAGAGATAAACTCTTGTTGATGCGTTTACTTGCATCTTGAGAAAAGCAAATATTTGTTTTTTGTGTCGTTCACATATGAGTACGTCGAGTACAGATGCGTTTAAATGTGCATCGGGTGAGAATCGCGGTTCATCGACACAAAAGGTTAACGTTACAACGCGTTGTTATCAAACACCTGCGTAACATTATTTTGCCACTTGAGTGTTTAATCTAAACTCGAAAACGATGTTGATAACACGACGACTATAATTGCGATGGTAAGGCAGTGGTATTTTTATTATGAAAACAATTTAAAACGAATCCCAAAATGAATTATTGCTAAAATCGTCTTCAAGAAGTTTAATATAATAAGATTTTAGAACGGACGTGCTTTTAGTTACTTTTGTTTCGTGTACGCGTTTTCTACAATTCTATTTCATTTTTTATGAGTTCACTCTGTGTCGACAGTAAAGTTTTGTCGAGTAACAAAAGATGAGGTGATTGAAAAGGCATTAATTAGATGGATCCAATTGGTAAATTGAAGCTGTAGTCGTGGTAACATCTATAGAAAAAAAGTCTTTGAAAAAGTATTTTACATAAAATAAAACTCCCGAAAGTGTTAATCTCTTTGCCGGCAACGATTTTATCATTGGTTCTTTTTCAACATTATCCCTGTTACGGACCAAAGCAACGACAGTGTCAAACATGGTACCGATTATTCCATTTAAGTCGAAACTGTTTTTTTTTTTTACCATTAAAAAAAAATTTCAAGTAAAAGCACTTACCTGTGTGTAATCGGGTGTGTTGTTGAACGTGGCTAAGCTGCTTAAACCGGCGCTCGCAATAGGAACACTTGTAAGGCTTTTCGCCGGTGTGCACACGGATATGCTGGACCAGCTGATGATTGGAACTGAACGATTTCAGACATTGCTGGCACTGATGCGGTTTACTCACTTCAAGTCCACTGCCGCTTAAGGAACTGCCACCAATGCTGCCGGATCTGCCGAACTCTCGGGCTTGCATTTGCATAGCCGCCGACTTTTGCATGAATATCTATAAAGTTCCATAACGCAAACTTCCCATGAGAAACGTCGTATAACATAATTGAACAATAATAAAAACTAATTATGCGATAACGGCGGCAGCTATCGTTCGTCGAGAAGTTAAGTAGCCGTCACTGCATGCTGTGTGATCAGACTCAGTGTAGACACTGCGAGCACGGTTCAGCGGGATTAATACAAGACCCTGTGAATAGCAGTTAACGTCACCGCACGACAAAGGGTTAAAGATCCAAGGATGGATGAGAGACGATAAAAAAAAAAAAAAAGTACACAAAAAAGCGGTCCTAAAGTAGTCTGTTACCAGAGGGTTGGCACACCTGTTTTACAGGGGTTTGATGTGTTGAAACAAGGGATTAATTAAAAAAAAGACAACGGGTTTTAAAAATTATTATAATTATTTATACTTGGGGTTAAATTACTCGGTAGCGTACACGACTTTTTGGTCATCTACACTGCAATGTTAATTAAAACGTTTATTTTTCAGAAGCCGGGCCGAGGGTTAATTAAACGATTAAACAATCGTGTAAGCATATACTAAGCGGAAAAAATGAAAAGTGTTATAAGTGAAATTTAACGGGTAACATATACCGCTATAAGTACATCGTCAGAGTCCTTTTTTTTTTGTCTAAACCACTTAGTAATGATTGCGTTTTACAAAAGCGTCCACTGGATAATTTTTTCATTTCATCGCTTTATGTTTTACTGCGGGAGACACGAGGAAAGGGATAAATCCATTACGGGCACACTTTAGAAGACGAATGATTTTTACGGAACTCGACGTTATGATTAAAAAGTTTGTTTAATTTATTTTTTCGGCAAACGCGCTCTTTCGTCGCTACAGTGAATGATAACGGAACGTTTGGAAACGCCGTGGAAAACTCGAATTACTCATATTAATTTTAATTTACGACCGAAAGATAACGACCGTTGTGGTGGTGGTCACCTGCAATAACACACCCACGCCGGCATAAGGTATACGGGGTGTCTTAACCTACATTTCTCGGCGGTACAAATCGTTATTGGCGGCAGAGGGTGTACTCACCCCGATGCCAGGTGTCAGTCGACACCGGAAAAAATTAAACAAACAACCCTTTTTGGGCACAAATACGTCGGACGATTGCCGCCTGCGCTATTAATGAACACTAATGATGCGACCCAACAGACTACTATCGATCAACGCCCGCCGTTTGAGTGTCCATCGTTTGATGGCCGTGTACACGAATGACGGAGAAACAACAGTAAAAAAACAGTGTTGGCCGCTGACAGATCGGTGTCGAAAAAGCCGAGCAAAATGGAAAAGAATAGACGAAACGCGCGTAGGAAGCGTCTGCGTGTCACATTGATCGTGACTCTCGTGGTCTCTACAAACGTTTTTCTGTGCACTCGGTTTACTGCGATGTGTACACAGCTGTGTGCGACGGGGTCAACACACTTGGCGTAACATATTACTGTTATTATTATAAACACGGCGAGGCGATAGTGTTTATCGCGTTAAGGCAGGTCGGAAACGAAGATTCGGTATCAATGCTCGGGACGGGGAAACGCGGGCACCGGGTCGAGTGGGCGCACGTTACTGCCGCGACGACGTTCTAACGTAAATATAGAAAATTTCATCTAAAAATACTCGACGGCACTGCGGATTTATGTGCCACGTATACGGCCAAGCGTTCGTGTTGTTATTTATTCGCTGATAATTACAAAGACAATGGTGAGATCGCCGTGTCCGGGCCACGGACACCGTGTCGCAAAAAGTGCAATTAAAAAGGCCGTCGGAAAGCAATCGGCCGTTTCTCTTTGAACGTGCGGTTCGACAATGCTGTTGATACCGTCGGCCTTTTCGTGTGGTCCGATTATCAAATAAATTAAACTCCATACCTGTCGAACTGTATTAGCTGCGTCCAACAGGTGCACGCGTGACAATCATCAGGGCGTCGTCGCGCGCGAAACTGTCCGAACGGCAAATGTATTTCGGCGTGCCGTGTCGATGGCGCCGCGATTAAACCCGACAAATGTATGAAAAACGCCGCCCGGGGACGGACGAAACGCGAACGGCGTTTACGAGCGAATGTGTTTGATAACAACCGACAGATTCGACAGAGACGAGAGTCGTACTGCTGGCCGACGCCGAGCGGCATCATCGTTACGTTAACTTAGGTCAGGAACTCTATGTGTACATGTGTTTTGTACACGTACTCCCGTACACAGCGAGTGTTAGCTAAACGTTACGAGAGTGTGTGCGTTATTTCTTTATCGCGCTGGTGTACGTCACCAGACGTTTAACGACCTCGCCGCCCAACGCTCGGTACTTCTAAATATATTATTATTACCGTATATTATTACCGCACACATTTATCGGACGGTCTCGTTTGCGGAAAACCTAATGAAACGCCGCCGTAACGGTATTCCGAGTAATTTTTCCGACCGTTTGCCCTGAAGAGTAGACCTCGAGGCGCCGTCCGCGAAAAGTCTCGGTGAATTTTTTCCTTTGGAAATTTATGAAATTTTCGCCGGATGTTCGTGTTTTGCCGTTATTAATAATCTGCGGCGTTCGAAAGGGGAACGAATCAGATAGCAGTGATAATAAAATATTAAACGGCGTTTTTTATTTTTGTTAATATTTATAAATAACCCGGCGGCCAAGGGATAGTGTGTACAAGAAAAAACGTCGGCAAAAAACAACTCGAGCAGAAGGCGTTTTATTTATGAGTCCGCATATCTTGCGTGCTCCGTTCGAATTTATTTCTTTCGGAAGCTTCGACGACGTTTTTCGTTTTGTACACAACCGCGTCTTATTACTTTTATTGTTACTATTATTGTTATTACAGTCGTGTGTACATGTGTATTTTCGTATAAAATTACCGGGTCCGTACTGCCGCGGCCATTGTTTTTTATTTTGACGGAGGAGTGGGTCTGGCAAGGTAAGGGCAGGAAAAGTGTGCTGAAGGGAGACGGCCGCCACGGTCCTATTAGTATCGCTAGGTTTTGTACATTTTCGATAGCCGTTGCTTCGCGGTCCGACGACTTTCACCCATTGTTTTTTTTTTCATTTTTTTAATTATTTGCATTTGATACATTTTTCATTGTTTTTCACGGCAATGATAGGCTAAACGAGAAACCTTCAGACTTTGGGTCGGTTCATGAATTGCCACCGGCTACCCCACTCGAAACGTGATTCGAATTTCATCGAGCTAAAACTGTCTAGGAAATTGTTTTGTAAAATATTTTTACTCGATTTGGTTATGTGACGGGAAACAAACGGTTAAAGAATGCACGATATGTTTTTATTGCCCATTATCCAGTTATAAGTTCTTAAATTGTTTTTTGGACGGCCTTCGATTGTGAGATAGTAAAAAAAATAATTAATAAACATTTTAAAATACTCTTTAAAAGTTAAAAAAAATAATTTTATATTTACAAAGAAGAGAAACATTTTATTTATTATTACGTTAGTACCTATTATAATAACTATTTGAACTGTAGACATTTTTTTTTACGCCTTTTCATCTATGCACATTGAGTATACTCTTTAATAATATCATTAATTACAACTTCGTCGTCGTTAGCGGTCAAAACAGTGTGTTTCGTTTGAATGGGCCCGTCGATGAAAAAAATACTACCCAAACCGGATTTTCCCTGCGCCCAAATGTGATAACAACGCCGTCGGAGTTTCTTTTGCGTTTAAAACAATAGGATAAATGTAAAAAAAAAAATATCAAACACTACGGCAGCTGCAGATAAAACGGTACATGGGTACGACTGTCGGGTTTCTCACGAGTTTATGTATCTACGGGTAAGAGTGCAGTAGGTGTTCTAGTTCAGGCGATTTCCGAACGCCGTGACTTATCATATAAATTGTCTAGCCAGAGAATGACGGCATGCAGATGGGCTGTTGTCAGTGCATAACACGAGTATTCGTTAATAATAATCATACGGATGTGGGGGGGGAGGGGTGCATCGAGACGAGAGCTTAGATATCGCCATCGAACATTTACATACAAAAACACAATCGACCGGAGGCTTGTAGATGCAGTCAGCGTTTGTAATATAAATAAATCCTTTGTTACGACAAAATGTTTTTAATTGACGTAATGCAAAAAAACGTTTAATACCTATAATATATATTGTGTAGCTCGGTGTCGGGTCATCGATCTATGGGAACGCTGAAAAAATGCAATGTTTTATTGCGCGCCCAAGAGATTGGTATCTTTATAACAGCCGCCGCTACCACGACGGGATATTGACGAGGCTCCGCCTATTGCCTGTGCTATTTGCGCTCGAACATTTTTGCAAAAATAATCCTAAAGAATAATTGTCGGTATAAGAGCCGTCCGAGTTCACGGTGAAGATGAAAGGTAATTGTATCCGCGCGGCGAAAAAATACTGGGATTTATTTTCGGGTAGTATAATTTTATTGCATTTAATAAAACGCATAAAACCGCGTTAATTACGATTAAAAGTTTCAAATTGAAAACACTCGGAAGTATTTAAAAGGTGCATCTTATGAGTTATTCGACGGTATGAAATGAATTCGCGGCGACATCTTAATTAAATCTCTTTAGTGTACCGATCTTAAATGGATTTAATAACTGAACGGAACGCACACGATTCACGACAAATGAGCATTCACATGAATCGCGTTATTACCTCAACGATGACAACGGCGTTGTTTGTTTTATTTATTTTTCCCGATCGCCTTGAAAAGGCCGCGCGCGCAATACTATCGACAGGAGACGTCCGTGTTGGTAGAACGGTCGCGTGACTTTTCCAGCAAAAGACTCTAGAAGTCTTTTACCTTTCGTTTTCCGCATACTTTTAACGTTTCACTTATTGCTATTTACATGTGCCGAGCGTCTGTGGCATGTAGAAACATCAATTGAAAATAAAACATTCAACAAACTTTTCAAAAACAACAATAAAAAGCATAATTTATTTTGGATTCTTTCTTCGTGAATAACAACATGCGGGTTTTGGTAGAAAAATGAGCAAAATCATAATAAAAGCACTATAGAAAAAAATAATAGTTCCAACACACACATAGTAAAAATAAAAGTGATAAAAAAAAACTCAATTATTGTTAGTATTGTAAATGTGCGTACTGAACGAAAGACGTTCCAGCTGACTCGCTGAAGTGTGGACCAACATTCCTCAAGAGTGCGGTCTGATATCGATCGGTTCTGCACGTCCAAAAAATCCAAAGACGAAACAGGCAGCGTTAAGAAAAAAATACACAAAATTTGTTAGGTCAATTATTAAATTACAACACATTGATTAATCATTACATATTTCGTCATATTCAGTCAATTACTAAAACAATTTTTAATATCTATTTAAACTGTTAAAGCAGATATATTACACTCAGGTGTTATAATAATTCATATTGTCACATTTGGCAGTTTCTTATTTTTGTTTTTATTTGGCAGTTCGTAAACCGCCTTTACTATGTTATCATTATTTGTATAAATATCCGTTTTTTTTTTTTTTGTATCATTTTAAACCGGATGTTGAAATGATCTACATGTTTTTTTGGCTAACTAGTTTACGACAACGGTCCACTTGGAGAGACTTTAAGGGATTACTGACCGAAGGGGATGCGACCCGAGTTGTTTTCACGTGGTCACTGACTTGGTTTTCGGACGGTAAAAAAGCTACAATTACGGCAACGAAGAGTGCGCCACCAAACTGCCGACGACTACTACGAGGCCGACTCGAGTACGGCGCATGTCCTCGGCCGTTCCTTTTCTCGTTTGTCCTTAAGCCCCCGCAAATACTTCTCCTTTCATTGCCGTGACCACTAGCACTATAATAATTCTTTCGGATGACCAAAAGTCCCATTTCTACTATACAAGCCGGTCATTGTGTTGTCTAATATCATTCTATTGGAAATTTACTACTTTTTACGAAAAGTTATCGTGTGCTGCGATAAAAGCCTTTTAACATGTTGAAATATAACAACTAAAAAATAACCGGGTTCTCTCTCGAAAAAGAAAAAAACTAGCCAGTCTAACTAGTTAACTACCCTTCTTTCGAAATAAGTGCACAATGCCCCAATTGCTTGTTTCTAAGTTCGTTGGCCAAACAATAGTGTAATATGTTAATGGGGGTCGGCGCGCTTTGCGCAACACCTTTGCCCGCCACTACCACCATCCGGTTGTGTATTTAGCCCGTGCTCAAACCGGTCGACTGGGTTTTTTTTTTTATCTAAAAGGTTAGGTCATACTGTAATAAAAAATAAATTTACCCTTCCGAATACCCGTTGTTTTTGAACGGGCAGTGGAGCAGGACATGGCCGACATACTGCCCAGTTGTACAGTTCGATTTCTCATTACAACAAGTACGACCGTCGTCTATCGTTAACTTAAGTGTTAAATTTATGAATTTATTTATTTTTTCATTTTTAATTATATGGTTACTTATGTTTACTTTTTATTTATCTAAATTATTGGTCAGTGACTATGATTTTTGATTCTATCCAGCAAAAATATCTCCGTAAGTTGATAGTAAACTCCGAAGAACAATATTTTTTTTTTTACATTTTAAAACTGCTTGAATCATTATAGATGATTATGTTTTCTACGTTAAACTATCAACGGCATGGTTAAGTTTCAAATTAAATTAAAAAAAAGCTTTACACAACCTTTTAATTTCTTTAAAATCCTATCATGATCTGCACGCAACTCGCACTATAACACAAGCCCACAGTTATTTTTCAATTAGAAATTATCTAAGCTTACGTCAAATATTATGATACGGGTACTCGGTGAATGATTATAATTATTTTAGTAACACGACATTAAAAAAATTAAATAACATTTTAGCCAGCAATTTTTGGAAAAAAAATATGAAATATCTAAAAAAATCGTACAAAATTAATTTATACTAATAATAAAATGTGTGATGTTGAATTTTTCAAAGTAAAATAACGAGAAATATATCACGTTTAATTAAATACACATTTTTTCTTTTTATAATATTAATAATTAATTTATTTTGAGTTTTTTTCGTGCATGCTATAATTCTATTTTATTTGATATTGGGCCAACGCCGTAGGGACCGTATATTATTTTTATTATTGTTATTTTAGTATTTATTTTTTTACCTCCGGTTATTTAATTTATAAATAAAACTATATTTGTTTTAACTCATATCAAGAGTCGTAATTTGTATATATATAAAAAAAAAATGAAAATATATATTTTTTTTCAATTATAGTTGCGAATTTCAACACGTACGCTGACATTAAATAACATTTTAATTAAATATAACTTTACTCTTTGATATTTTACCGATAAAAAGTGATAAAACGAAATAAAAACGCTATAACTATAAAAATTCATTTAAGAGCTTTTATTTAAATTTATCTCATCAATTTCGAGTGTTTTTAATAGTTTTATTTATTTTTATACTTATTAATTTATGAACACAGTTTTACTAAAAATTGTTTCTAACCGTTAATCAAACTTCATATAGTGTTTTATTTTATTTAATTATTTATAGTTTTGTGAGTTAAAAATTGCCCTAGTTTAATTTAATAAATTTAAAAATTTAATACTGCACATAAAATAACTAATTTATCGTCATATTTTTATTATTAACGAAGTAATATTTTAAAAATCACATTAATTTATTATTTATCATATTATATTTAAAAAAAACATGAAACATTTATTAAACCAAGTTAAAAAAAATTAAAAATTATTAATTTTAATAAGATTAAATGAAAAAAAAAAACTCACCTGTAATTCACTGACTAATTTTTCGGTCATCATTTTTGGGTCGCTCAGAACAAGTTGGTTGTTTTGTCCCAAAGCTGCAGCAGCCGCTGCGGCTGCGGCAGCAACGGATTGAGCGTCACCACCAACAGACTGTCCACCCAAAGCGGCCGCACCGGTTGAATCCACGGCCGACCTGACGGCTGCGGCCATTGCAGCCGCAGTAGCAGCGGCTGTGGACGATTGAACGTCCGATTCGTCGGTCATTTCTACATTTATCTGATCTTGAAGTTGTTGCTGCTGTCGTTGCACTTGCTGTGCCACCATAGCAATCGCTTCATCGGCAGTGACGTTAGTTTGAGCGCCAATAGCCGCCACAGTGGCGGACGACACTTGTTGTTCCGAATCGACAGAAGTAATTTCGTGGTTTACTTGAATACCGTTTTGGGATGCTGTGGATTGCTGTTGTGCCGTTGGTTGTTGAGTCGGTTGAGGTGACGGCGAAGACACCACTTGCTGTTGTTGTTGTTGCTGCTGCTGCTGTTGTTGCTGATGCTGTTGTTGCTGATATTGTTGCCGTTGTTGCTGCCAAAAATCGGCGGCCGGGTTCATTTTGAAAACTGGCCGCTGCAACAGCACTGACTGCTGCTGTTGCTGTATGTCCGCCGACATGGTGTCGTCGCCCAGCAGTTCGTGGCCGGGCGAGGCGCGAAGATCAAGCGGAGCCGAAGAGATCGTCTTGGCTGCGTAATTGAAAATTTGGCGAAAAATTAAACTTGAATGTATTTTGTGAAAATTGTTTGAAAATTAATATCTTGGTAAAATTCGCGTTTGGCAAAAATATCCGTTAACACACTGCGACGCACGTGGCAATAAACAATCGGCGGTGGACGCGACTAAATTTTCTTGAATCTGTAAAAAAAAAAGCAAAGTTTTTTTAACTGATAAAAATAAAAAAAACGTTAAAATAAAAAACGAACTTTGAAATTCGGTCCGGTTTAATAATAATAACATGGAATAAAATTAAGTACAAGTCCGGTGTAATGTCTAAGTCGGGCACCTTAGGTGTTCGCGATGCCGAAGTAGTCTTGAGACTGAACGACGTCTCAAGACGACGACGTGCCGGAAAAACGTCGTCGTTGTGCTTTGGTTGTACGCACAGCGGCGGAAAGCACTCGCTGCGGCGGCGGTGGCGGCGTCTTGTGTCGGCGTCGCGGCGCGACTGAGGAGATATGCGGCCAAGATGTCTTGGAGTCGCGGTCATATCGCCGTCCTCGTCTGTAGCGTGTGCGGTCGGCAGCTTGCCGTCCTTCTCTAGTGCACGTAAGCAAAGGGGTCGGGTTTTCCCTCTTAGGAAACCGTACCGCCGCGCGCGCCAGACGTTTTCCTTACGTCCCTTTTTCTGCGCCGGCGTCCAACACACCGCCACCGTACTCTCGGCCCCACCGCCGCAGCTACCCTCGGTGCTTTCGGCCTTTTCCCTCCGCCTTCACCTCATTCTTTTTACGCATTCTTCTTAATTCCCTTCATTTTTTCGCCCTTTTTTTCTTTTCGCCGACCGCCCAATTTTTTTTCCATCGTTCCGTTTCACATCGTCTTTCGTAGAAATCGCTCTCATGAGCTCATACAAAATATTACATTTCAACCACGTATTTTTTTTTTATTACTTTTTACATTAAATTTACATATGTACATGATAAATTTGAAATGCTATTAACTCGAATATCAGGCTGGATATTAAATTTTTTTAAACAGAATGAATTTCAAATTATAATATTATTCAATTTTCGAAAACTGACGGATCAACATTACAAATTTCGAGTAGCATAAATGCAAGTACAATGTTTTTGAAGGTGAATATTTTTATCTGTATGTAAGAAATCGTCTGGTTTCAATTATTCTGTACATTATCGACTATTTGTGGCGCCGTCTGGAGGATACCCTAATGCTATTTTAACCCTTTCATTCAGAAAGGGTTAGATAGTTACGCTTATTAGCCGGGAGATATCGTTGTGAGGGTAATAAAACGACCATTTTATAAAGTAAAAACTGTATCCAACTAAACAACAAAGTTATACGAAACGAAAAAACTAGACAGTATCATTTACCAGCACGAAAATTCACATAAAACATTTAGTTAATATCTCTCACTAATTACTTGAATAAATTCAAATCTAAAAATAACTCACCCAAAAATTCTTAAAAAAGTAAGTAGTAAAATGTATAAAAAACATTCTAACATATTGTTTATGTTATTAACTAACGAGAAAACTGCATCGTTAAAACTATTTTAATATTATTTAATCGGTACATATATGATTTTGAAATGAATAAAGCTAATTAAATATTTAATTAGCTTTATTAAATTAAAATCGATATAAAAATGTCTTACTGGCAAAAAATAACAACCATAGAACTACAAACGATAATAATTCTTATCTTCAATTATTTCACATGCGAATGCAATATTAGTTTAGGTTTAATAGAATTGTTTTTTTATACATTTTCTTGACCTTACAAATGTTTATTTTTGTTAACCCACACTGTGTGTGTTATTTAAACAAATAACGTGTTTTTTCTGGACCAAGTAAAAATGATTAGTGAAACGAGTATAAAAAACGAACGGTCATAATTTACTACAGCGTTCAAAGTCTCTTTCCTGAAGTTATAAGTGGTAAAGAATATTACATTATTCATTTATTTATATTCAAAAGTAAAAAATGTGTGGTCTTAGTGTACTTTTGAACTTTTCACATTGAATGTTAGACATTTTTTTTTAGATTACGTATATTAGCAATTAAAAATTTATACTGAATTCACAAAATATTTAGTTGATTATAGAGTGTTGTTTATACCGGATGGTTGTAATGATCAGGTTCTACCTACTTTATTAAAACATTTAAATGGATAAGTATTAATTATTATAGTCAGTTAGTGGTTAGCATAGTAATGTAATGTTTTATTTTAATTTAAAATTCGAGAGTTTATTCGAAGGTATCACAATGGAAAAATTACCTGAGAACGTTTCATTTATATTTAATGTTCCAATAGTCTAAAAAATCTTTTTCCATACTATAGAATTAAAAGCGTGGTTTATGATGCGTGTAGAACATTTGTTTTTGTGTATATATTAGTTACATTTCATTTCAATTAGGGCGAAACGCAACATAGATAAGATTTGAAAATCGTGTGGAAATAATATTTTCTACAAATAAATACTGAAATAGATTACTTTTTAATTTTTATTGAACCAAATTTTCATTGAAATTTATAATTAATGGAATTTTAATAACAGATATTAAAATAATACACTGGGTAAGTTGTTTAAATTGATGTATTTTTAGATTTCATCTAAAAATCTCTAAACTCTAAGCAATCTCAAACAACACTTATAAAATATTTCTAAACTTTATTGGAAATATTTGAAAAATACAGTTTGAACCAAAAATAATAATTTTAAGTATTTTAACTTTAAGTAATTATCACTTAATTGATCGAAGAAAGTCCTATGTCATAAGTTGTAAAAATGACGAATGTGGAATTGAATGACTCGTTGGTTTTCTTAAAACACGTACCATGTAATATTAAAATTCAAGTAATTAGATGATAAAAATGAAGTAATTTTTGATTTTGAAAACTTCATTACGCCACGTCTCAAATGCCAGGTGGTTGCTAATGCGGATTTATAAAATCATAATCAACCGTTGTATTATAGTCGGGCTGCAGTATTGATATACAGAACATAAGGGAGCTAGCACGTGTCCTTTACGGGTCGACGAGGGGGTCATCGGAGAACGGTATGAAAGATCCCCCCTCGACACGCGCAGGACAACGGCTATCAAAGGCAGCTGGATCGCGGCATTTATGAATAAATTCGCGGGCATCTGTGCCGACGACGACGACAGCAGCCGCGGCGATGACCCGTTCTTTTGTTCTGTCAAAATAATAACATTATAAATTAAACAAAGTACCGCGACGCAGAGAGAAATTAAAAAAAAAAAACGGCCAAGCCCTCGTATTGTTGTTCGTTTCGTTCGACGATGACCTTGGGGCAGCGTACCCTTTCGCGTACCGTTATGTAAGAGTCTAAGGTCCCCTTATTTTTTATAAAGGGAAAATTAAAAATTGACCTAAAAAGCTGCTAGGCAGGTGTCAAACAAGCGTCGGACTCACGCGATCACCGAGTCCAGCTGCGCCCGTGTTTGATTCCCTTCCCTGGCCACTTCTGTATGAAGAGTGCTCGTGCATTTCATTATGCAATGTCACGACACACCGTTGCATTGGCGTGTCCACATGCTTACACGATTAGCTCTGATCGCCAACGGGCAGAGTGCGAACAAGCAAAACGAAGGGTAGAACGCGACGTCAGACTCTAGTTTTGTCAGCTAGTTATTTTTAAGTTTTTTCACGTTATGCAACTAGATCGGCAACTTTTCCTTACGTGTCGTCCAAGGCATAAATAATAGAAAACATTTTTTTTACTGAGAGTCGATTTCTTTCTATTGATATCCTATAAAAAGCGCCATTCGTTTACGTGATTTGGATAGTTAGGACAGGGATAGTAATTTTTTTTTATTTTACTGGGTAATCAGATATATATATATATATATATTGTCATTTGTTTTTTACAGCTTACAGCTGGCAGATTAAAATGCAAGTAACAACGTGCACATGGATTTATCGACAAGAACATTACAGCACGTGTATGCTTTACGTCGATTTCGTGTAAAACATATGAAAATAATAAAACGCTTGGTAATATTATGTACAAATCTGCCCGCTGTGCGCGATGAGACGACTACACGAAGTAACTCGAGCTCGTTGTCACCGTATTGTTTCCATTCCCACGCCTTTCTAGCAATAATAGTAATAAATCGGTTGGCGCAGGGAAAATGAATTGAAATTATTGCCAGCGGTACTTTGTTAGTCTTTGGCAGTCGCGTTGAAAAGTTCTTTGGCACAAGTCACAAGCGTCAGGGCTGTTAACACCGTCACAGCGACTACGGTGTGATCGTATGGATCTGATAAACGGTTTGTGACGACAAACAAGTGAAATATTCCAACAGAACAGAAAAATGTATGCCTACTCGAAAAATGAGAGAGCAGACGAAGAGTGGAGTGAAAAGGCAAAATAAAAATTGCACAATGTCAGAGACTAGGTGTCTGTGTGTCACACACCGTGTAAGTCGCAGCTGCTGGGTGTGTGTACGAGCGTCAGTGATATTTATGATTTCCTGGATACTCGCTAGTTGCTTCTATTCAAATTAAAAACATACAATGAATGTTGCGCAACTTTTTTTAAGTCACGAGCGCACTGACAGACGACAATGAAAAAAAATTATAATGAAACGTTAAACCGGAGAAATTACAACGGTCGGTTGATTTACAACGAAGCTCATGTGCAAAAATAAAATCCGAATTTTAATTGCAAATAACAATAAGTGTGTTTTTTTTTTTTTATTTGTAAACTTACTTTTACGTCTATCCGAGATGAACTCGCAACCGAACGACACAACAGACAAACAACAAATGCTGTGTCCACTGTCAATGTTTTATCTACCCGATATCAATGTATTCATGTATTATTTTCTATTTCGAGTTACGCCCCGGTACAACTAGTGGCACTTTCAAACAAAATATCACAATTTCCCCTCCCAAAATACAAACGCTGTGCCGATGTTTTTCTTGCTGATTTATATGTCGGAATTCCTAAAACCATTATACGGTTGCGCGATGTGTTTAACGGTATTATATTTTCAAAAGGGATTACACGAACCCGTCATACGCATACATAATATTATACTGAAAATGTATTATAATAATATGCGCAAGTATATTTTTATTTATTTCGCTCTCCGAGGACAATCGCAATTTATTTAAATTTCCAGCAAAACGGATTCCAACCACTGCCCGTGACAATGTACCCCTGTGACTTCCGCCACAGGGGTACCCCTCTACGGTATTAACCGTTAAAGCCATCGAGTGGATTCTGCAATTTAAGGTCCGGCGTCGGAGCTATTCCGAGTACACAACTGAAAAACGCCTCCCGTTATATTTTCAGTGCTATTTGCAATGCAAGTGATAATGAAGATGGTACATTGTAATGAACGCGCGCTACGTTTTTCCTCGTTAGGAATGTGTGCAGCTATTTTCACATGCACGCACACAAACTTACATAGACAAATAGTCATGTGTTTCTATTTGTCTATTGTGTGGACGCATAAAGGGCGGAGTTGAATAAATGCGGGGGATGGTCGGCTATGGGGCGCCGCCCTTGTTCCATCTGTCACCTTTGACGCCTCCATATGACCCTTGATCGCATTAATCTAATATACCCTTCGAATCCATTATGGATATTTTTTAAGCTGAATGACGTTAAAATAATGAGAATATACCAGGAGAAAATTTTTTAAGAACGTCATTCATTATCTATTTGTATTTTTAAGACTAGTGCTTAAAAATTGCCAAAATCCCACTTAATTAAAACTTCGAGAAGAGTACCGTAAAGAATAAAAAAAAATCACCTAAATCATCGTTGAAGTCTCTTTTTATTTTTCACGTGAACACTTAAAAAAACAATCAAATATATTTCTAAGAGAAGTCATGAGAACATTTTTAACTTCTACAGTTATGGTTGTATACGTTTTTTATAGAAGTGTGTAAATAGTATTTGGAGCTGATGGCTACGGAACAATAAACGTGCGCAGTATACC